CAATATCAGTTGACGTTAAATATTTAGGTGTGCTATACTTTAGCAGTGTGACAAGAAAATAATCACCACACTCGTCTCTCCATCACATCCGTAATATATTGAAACAGGTATACACATTTATCAACATTTATCACCAAAGAAAATGGTGTACACTTTATATCGTATATATGTAAACATAGAAATACAATTCATGCGTGTAGTCGGTGTTTAACAATAGAAAACAAGTGTTTGTTATGACAATGAATGTCTACCTTGTTTATAACGTGCACAGATCTGTTTCGGATACTTGATTTGTAACATGCCATTGACAATATGACGTATTCTGCTTCTGGTTTAGATGATAGAGGTTTGCATTTGGCAATCATATTATGGTGTATAGTTTAATATCTAAACTGAATAAAGCAGAATTCATGTTACTGTATGGTGTATCAATTAATATCCTGTACACATACAATACACTGAATCAAGTTTACAAATCAATTATCTGCCAAGGTCGCTCGACAATAATCCAAATACATTGTAACACCTCCATAAAAGAAGTGTCATTTCCTGACGATAGGTGACAAATCGAATATACTCATGTTGATAAAAGGTCTCTTACATAAAATGTACGTAGTTTATAATGACATTATATTACCTGAAACAAACGTCCAGTGTGGTCAGTTTTATCTTTTGGGAAAGCCAGTGATAAATATAGCTACGACCGAAATATCATAATCGAAATTGATTTGAGAAATACATACACTAGCATAAATTTTAAAATCGCACTCACTATAGGGACTCCCCGACAAATGGACTTAGGACTGTACCTAACGAAAGCAGTGACGTCCTCGACTGTCGGGCGTAACTGGTTACTACAATGGAAGTGATGCATTAGAACGGACGCCACGACAGGACTGCTGTACTGGTTCATATACCTAGTATATATAGACAACCAGAGATACACTCTACCCCTAACCTATACTTAAGGCGACAAGTCCTGTCGAAAATGCAGAGTAGTAAAATTCACTTTGTTCCCTTTAAAAAAAATTACCATTCGTCCAAATCTAACATACTGTAAAATCTAGATAATATCGTAGCGTCTGTGAAGATTTTAAAAATGAGTATGCTAGTTGTTGACAAATGATATGACAAGAACAGAATGGATTTTACTTCCCTGAAATTTCGACGTGACTTGTTGTCGCCTGTAGCTAAAATACTCGGTGGCAAAAAAGTTCTTTGTCAGATGGGCAATACTTAAAAAATCTCATAAGTACATCGTACAGTGTTAGTCTGTATTTTCGAAAATTTTGATGGGGTGGATAGTCAGTAATTTCGGACTAGACCAAAGTATGTTATTTTAAACCTTAAAAAACAATGCTTTTGGTTTTAGTTTGTGCAAAATGAAACCGAGACAAAGAGGAAAAGTTCGTTTAAATTTCCCGATTCAGAAAAATCTTACAATTGTGCAGTACCGAATGTTATTGATTTTTACGTATAATGAACTTCTTCTATGATGCCTCTCTGATCGTATCAGACAGAAGAGTTTGCTTTTAAAGGTAAAGAATATACTTTCTAATGAACATGTAGTAACAAGCATTTTTTCATCGTATGCAAACTTTAATCAAACGGCAAAATTTCGGAAAGACATTTTCTTATCTACTAACTCGGTTTTGCCGCCAGCGATTTTTCGTTGAACGTAATGTCTATGTGGAATGAACAATTGTTGTCCTTTTGTAAATGGTACTGTTTTTGCTGTACGTTTTTGTGAAAGGTCTGTTATTGTTATCTTTTTGTAGAAGACGCTGTTTTTGTGTGTAGAAGATGTAGTAACTGTTGTTGATTGTTGTCCTTTCTGTCATTATCCAATTGCCACAATTTAACTATTTAACCATTTTAATATTACCAGCATATTTCGTTTCTACAGCATACGACTGTGACGTAGTGTGACGTTGTTTCGACGAACGCAGCTAGAGAGAACATGCTGGAAGATGATGATGATGACGTCATTATCGAGGAAGTGGAGGGAGCTGATGGCGTGGCCACCCGACCTCCAGAACTTGGAGACTTTATCACAGGAGTTCTTAATGAAAGGATTACCATAGGGGAACTAGAAAGTCGGAGGGAAAACTCATTTGGGATAGCGATGGGGCTTGCCGCCAGGATTGCGAACACTGCCTATGGGATACATCCTTTGTTTCCAAAGTACATTTCAATAAGGGGAGGCAAGCCTGAACTTGAAAATCTTCGAGCCCTTGATGCTAATGAATTCCAGTGTTTTGTACCTATTAAGAGGCCTGCAAAACCCGACACATTCACGGTGAATATGCAGATTTTCTGGCGGTTTTCCTCTTGTGATAATCAGTTATAGATTTGCAAAATCACAACACTAGATAGATTTCAGAACAGAACAACGATCTGTATAACTTTAATTGAAGTAACCTGATTAGTTTCCAATACATAAAGGTATCATTATCAATACTCTCACAGTTATTGTCTCTTCTGATAACTTAACATTGCCACTGCTCATTTCGTACTGAGGATAATAACGAGATTAACAGAATTAATGTTTCCTCCTTTCAGATGGTGTACAAGCCCCCCAGCGAATTCCCAAGCCATAGAATCCTTCTAGGTGTCAACGAGAATCTGTTTTCCGTAGACAAGATGCAGATCTCTAAAGAGTGGGGTCATTGTGTGGATACAAACGGGTTCCTTAGGCCTGACTTTATCCTCCACTGGTTCAATGACGGTAAGTTTTAAATGTCCATGAACCTTTATTTGCCTGTCAGTTTCTACATGCAGGCAAGGCATCATGTAGACTTTGTTTAGGATTTTAACACGATACCGCATCTGTCTTCTCTTTCGTTTTTCCTTTCTTCCTTATTTGAAACTGAGGAAAACCATTTGAACCTGCAGTTTTTGATTTAAGAGAAAAAGCAAATGTAATGAGGTCTGTTGATAAAGTCCCTATTTTTCATTCCTGTCTGCAGGTATCATAGCAGCTGTGGACTTTTTAAAGGAGGCTAGACCTCATAGAGCAAAAAAACATCACACCATGGACATATCATATTCTGGTAAAAAAGACGGAACCTTGTTGATCAACTTCTACACGAACCAGTCCATTCAACCGCATTTGTTCTTCACACTCAATATCGTACCCTGCATTTCAATCAGTGAAGTTCCGAAGCAGTGTCGTCTGCAAGTCCCAATAGCAAGCAGACGACCGTATTATGAGTTCCACACAGACTTCAAAAAGAATATCAGAGACGTCTTGACGCAAGGTGAAAAAATGTTCTACCTTGACGCAACTGTGATGCCATGGAGCAATGAGTGTGGTTACGATGGCAGTATTGTCTGCTCCTGGGGTCTCAACATAGGTTGTCTAGAGGACAGGGCTCTTCATTATATCTGTCAGATGACGACAGGACAATATTTCAGAGACATCATCATGTTGATAGAGAGAATCAAAGACATACATTCATTTTGCTTGCATCCTTTGACAAATCGCGTCATCTTAAATGCCATATTGTATCAGCACAAGAAAAGCATGGGAGTGGTGAAGGGAAGGTCACGTTGGTTCATCAAGGTGATCGAACGGCTTTCGTCCCACATGAAGTCAGGTGTATTCCCAGCGTTCTTTCAAGGGAAATATAATTTGCTCAGTGATTTTAAGCCCGACATGTTGTCCGCCACGGCTTCGGAGCTAGACGAGATG